ACACAGTTGAAGATCACTGGTCGAATATCCGCCAGAGGTTATTAGCAGCAATCCTGTCTTCATGGGGCAAATAAAATAACCAACCTGTACATTGGGTCTCTACACAGTCTCTGGAACTTATCGATTCTCGCCGACGTGTTTTGGCTGAAAGAGAAAATGAGACTCGCAAAGATCTTAGTTCCAGTTCAGCTTGAAAAGAGACTGCGAAGCGTGATGGTCTCATCGTGCATCGAAGATGCATGCAGCCGATGCCCGAAGCGAGGCACAAAGGATCGAACGGGTCCAACACATTGCTACCATGCTCATCCCGAGTTCACGTGGCTTGTGGTATGAAGACCGGTGCGAGAGACTAGGGCTCTACCTCTTGTCCTACCGTCGGGTGCGAGTCGACCTCGTTATGACCTACCGTATTCTACATCTCGGTGACTTTCCCATGCTGATGCCAATGGTGCATTTACAAGAACCATGCAGCACACGCGGGCACAGATACAAGCTTGTCGTGCCAGATGTGAAGCGTGTTCCCCACCCACTGTGCTTCGAACGGAAAGTGGTCGATATTTGGAACAGTTTGCCTGAACATGTGATGGAGACCACATCTGTGCAACAGTGCAAAACGTTGTTTGATTTATATTTTACCACCATTCGATTCAGAGAACGATTGCACACTTACGATGACATGTCACATTTGTGAGTCCTGCAATACCGTGAGTCAGATATTTTAAATGTTACGTGAGAACGATAACGATATTCACGGGTGACAATTTTTGATAACGTTTTTCACCATATTTCAAAAGAGTCGTGCAGAATTCATTTCTACTTGTTCTATAATACATTATTCAGTATTCAAACTGCTGAAATTGAATAACGCTGCCGGGGAAGATAGACTTCATCCAGCTTTCCTCAAATTCCAGGGACCTTCTCTTTTGGACGATTTACGTGACTATGGGAAAGCTGTACGCGCGTAGGTCGGACAGTGAGGATTTACGACAAACCTTCATCGTCCTTCAATATCTCCGACGGTGTGAAATAAGGTTGCTCGCTGTCACGATTCCTCGTTAACTTCGCCATTGAATAAGTCATGGAAACGGCGTTCGTCGGGCACGACTTCGAAGATGTGAAGCTGCTCCCAGTTGACCGATTTCATAACTATGCCGACGACATTGTGGTCATCTGTGACAGCTCCCGAACATGCCAAGTTGCAATGGATAAATTGGCTGGCTGTCACTCGTTTCGGACTATGCTTTGCATCCTCGAAATGCAAAGTCCTATAAGATTAGCAGGGACCCACTCCTAGCTGATCCTGTGTGAGGATCAGTTGGAAGTCGTCCAGAAATTATCTGGGCTATATTAGGGCCCCCGGGATTGGAGTTGAGGTCACGAACTGTATAGCGAAAACTCGGGCTGCTTTTGCCAATCTCGGCTGGCTGTGGCACCTGCGTGACATCACTTTCGTTCTGAAGGGCAGAGTTGACAACACAGATTGCGTTCAACTCTGCTGTACGCTAGCGAAACCTGACCTATTATGTCGACAGACGTAAAGAGACTAGTTACGTTCGATAATCGCTGCCTCCGCAGTTTAGCTCATTTTCTGGTATGAACACCGCGTGAGCCATGAGCGTGTTCGGCGTCGTGTATTTAGTGCAGGAAGAGCGAGTGAACCGCTTAGCACCATTAGGTCACGCACTGGGTTCAGATGGTTTGGCCAAGTGTTGCGCATGCCAACCCCATCGTGCATGGCCAATAAGGAAGTTGGTAACTGACCGATTGAAAATGTTCGTCCCAACGCTCCAAGCGTTTTGACATGCTGTGGATTGGCTTTCCACTCTCGTCGCATATTGTCGCGCTAACACCAGGTCTCCTGCTGCCCTTTTCTTGTAACAGGCTGAATAACTTAAAACAGTTACCAAGATCTGCGGCTGTCTCCATCTCCGAGGCACAATGAGACCACCAGGCTTCGAAGTCTGTCTTCATACCAACACGCAGTTTTGCCCTGGGGTTTATGCGAGTCCCAATGTGTTCGCTTCCAGCCGGAACACGTCGGCGAGAATCGATAAGTTCTGAGACTGCGTAGAAACCGAATGTCCCTGTTAGCAGTTTGATTCGTCACATGAATACATGTGTAACGTGATTAAGTGCACAAGAAATCCTCCTAACATTCCCACGATTGACCCGAGCTGGTATCTACAGTGTGTGTGTGCGCGTAGGTGCGTTTTCAACTCTAACGACCTGCGCTTGTCCGCCCAACTCCTATTCTAAGTTGGAGTTCTGACTCGAGCACACCAATTGCTATCGACCGCTTTCATTGTGTGAACATTCCCCTATCTACGCATTTGTCTCATCCGGACGCCCGAAGCCAAACCATGCGTGTTGTGTGTGTATGTTTGCGTATGATAGTGTCCCCGCTTCTGCTTGCCCCATACATGTGTGTGACCGCGCGCTGACCTCGATCGCCCCACTTCACCACTCACCAGACGGCTGCCTTTGGTACTTCACCTCCATTCGCCAAACGTGAGAGCTCACCGCCCCGGGGTGTGTCGCACTCCACTTAGCGTTTGTCCAAGTACGGCATCGGTTATGTACTTTATCCAACTGCTCATATGCACTTTTGATGGTTGGCACACGGACCATGATCCCCCCTTGTTGAGCGTTTCTCTAAAGCATTTGTTGCTAACCAAGGACGCTTACAATTGAGGTTTGTTGTATTATGTACTTAAGGTTATGTAAATAGCACCGTACACCTGAGATCCACCTTGTCTCGTGACCTAATCGGGATCGATCGGTAAGCGTGGTTCAACGACACCGTTTTAGTCGTTACAATCTGCCTGCTGCTATAAACGTCTGGCGGATATGCGACCAGTGATCTTCAAATGTGTTCAGCGAGCGCTTGCTCAGCTCGGATGCCAGCGTACTTTGATACGCATTCAGAACATCTGACTTCGCCAGTTGGCAAGCATTTATGCGCACACAGGGCTGTTGCGGACACCCGCAGGCCGACGCATACAAGTGCGTGGTCGGAGCCTGCGTTCATGATTCAAATCGAGCTACAGTTTTGGAAACAGCCTCTAGTGCTAACTGATCGCGATGTGATCGATTTGCGTTCATGGCTGCTTTGACACGAGTGGGCACCATGTTTCTTTTCTGTTGGTGCTGTGCTGGAAGTTAGTGCTCGGAAGAAATATGAGCATCTTCACACGGGTGTAGCAACTGCTCACCGGTATCATTACCAGAGCCTACACTGTGTTGGCGACCCAGATGCAGTCATCATGCTTCATTGGGCGTCAGATCACCAGCCAGCACCACAGTATCCTTACTATTTCTGTAACGAAGAAGCGCGTTAGTTAGTGATGGAATTCATCTTTCACTGAGTCAGCGCTGCAATTTGTGGACGCGTGGGCTGCAATGACAAACAGGCACCGTTTGTCCCCGCGCAACTTCGAAGCTATAAACAAACTAGCTGGCTGTTGATTTGTATGCAGTCGATCAGGGTAGCTTCAACCTGAGAGATCAGAGCAATTCCCACACCGGCTTGATCGGCAGTTGAAGCTGCGTCATCTGCATACGGGCGCAATTAGAAACTACCGCCGTTGTCGCAGGTGGGTTTCTGTTAAACAGCATATATCGATCCATATGGTCTCTAATGTTTACTGTATGTTGACCAGTCTGCAACAAAATGCGCACGTTGTGGCATGCCAGTCTTAGCCATGATCGAGAAACCCAAATAGAAACGGATGAACAGACGTTTTCCGTTTTGCTGGACATCGACTTGCCAGCTGCTACCTTTGTCAGGTTCTGCGTCATCTAGAGCTGCCATTCTCAACGGGGCCTATATGGCCCCCGGGGCCGTGGGATGAGAAACGTTTTAGGGGGCCATAGGGGACCGTGCTGTGAAAAGTGGGTTGTGATAACAAATAATGAAATTCTTTTTTAATTTCTAATAGTTTCACTCCGCGCACTAATCTACTCTCGTAACTACCGCGCCTGCAAGTGGCTGTTTACGATGGTGTGAAAAGCATACCGGGCAGACTTTCTGTTGCGGAGCTGACACAGTAAACCAACTGAGCTTTACTCTGGACACTGATGCATCTACTGTGCAAGCTTCAGTGATCCTAGTGAACTCTCGTCAGAACGCTGCGGCAGTTACCGCACACGGACACTGAGTTTTCCTCAGGACACTACCACTGTGACATCTCATGCACCAGTGAGTCTTTCTTTTTCGTTGGGTCTCATTGCGGTACCGCGAGGTTGCGCGTTTTCCGTCTCCAGTCTCAGCTCGCTTGTACGTCTGGTGTCTAGGTCTCGTTAGCCCACAACGTTCCGAATTCCAGTGGCTATACTGCGCGCGTGACGTAATATCTTTGAAGAACGTTCTTTCTGACAGTCGAAAAAGCTAGGACACGTTATACCACTTTCTTAACACTCAGTTTAGCTGAAGTTTTCATATTAGCAAGCAGTTTTGCCAACTTACATCATACGTGTGGAGATCCGGTTTCTTTGTTGAGTACCTTTAACATAGTATGTACATAAGAATACTTCTCACAATAATCAAATGCCTTACCAGCACTCATTGGGCAACATGTTCGGCAATAGCCGATGTACGTTTACTTTCGTTGTTGACTCTCCCATGGCGTTGTCTTGAACTGTCCGGCATTTTCTTCCCTGTTTCTCTATTCTGTCCTTCATTTTACTTGTCGCCACGTTTGCTACAACTTTCCTGTAATGCATATCTGTCTAGTGAGCATTGTAATTTTCTGAATTCATTTGTTTTCTTAAGTCATGTTATCTATCCACGGTATTTTCAAAAACATCCTCAGTAACCACCTTTGGGTTGCCTCTAACAGTGTTTCTACACGGTTACATGTTAACATTGTAGCCAACAACAGATGTTACAAGTATGCTAACCAAATGTCTTGTATTATAATCTCACGGTCAAGCAAGAATAAATTTGGTGCCACTAATCATTCATACTACCTGTGTGTTTCACCTTGGCGAATGATGTTATTTACTACTCATGATGTAACTGGGTAAGAGAACTAAAAACAAAGGCAGTACCTATAGATTTCGGACAATTCGAATCATCGACTTTCCGCTTATATACGCCCACATGTTGAATATGCAATTCAAGCACAGCGCCCATGGCTAAAACGGTATCTCACGGCCTTGGAGCTTCCACAACCTCGGGCGGACGTTATCGCCGTTTGCGTGGTGACCTAATCATGCTCTGTGGAATGACTACACAACGTCTGCTCGGCAGGCGTCTAACGGATGTTTTCATCTTCGTAAGCACGTGCTCCACTGGGTTTAGCGGGTACGAGTAGAACTGCAGCTGATGAGGCGAGCCAACATTCCTTCTTAGATCACCCGGCATGTGGATTCTATCGTCGTTTATGACTAACCACGCACCGTCCATCTCCGCTCTGCAGCGTGTACGCGCCTCAAGTCCCTCGATGATCAATGAGAGCTTTTCACCATCGTTGATTGCCTTTGAGTGAAGGAATACTTGGTTATTCATTGCCACCATGCAGCCTCTGAGTTTGGGCAATAGGACGTTTGCGCGCGTCTATCGCAGCTGGAGGTTGAACTCGCTCTCGGGTATCTGACTCCAATACTTGCACAGCTGCACAAGTTCATACATACACACGCACAATACGTGAAGGCCAATGGGGAGACAGGGCACAACTGGGTCACCGCATTCGATCGAGGTGAATGACACTAACAATCCAGAGGAGGGATTGCACAATGGCCCATTGCTTGCACATTTCGGGTTGCATTTGCTTGGCTTGAATATTGTCCATTTGCCTCACATTTTCCTTGTTAATGAATTACTGAGGTTCCGTTTGGAAATAAACTGTATACATTTTGATTTGCAGCACATCCAGTTTAAAGTGAAAATGGTGTAGAGCTAATAGCTGAATGTTGTACAAGGCACCAATTTAGGCAGCTAATTTTATGATACCTGGACGCTTAGTTGTGGAACATGGAGGCAGCAGAGCCCACACTCTTTTAATTTCTCATCATCGTGTCAAAGGGTATCAGGTGGATGTCCTCCATAAGGAGATTACGAGTGTGGCTTCGGTCCGGTAAATCAGCCATGTCCCGAGCGCCGGGTCGCTCTAATTCCAGTTTTCACGGCTACCATCGAAATGAGATTTTCCGAAGTCAACAACGTTGGGTGGAAGCATGAGCGCAAATTCACTGGAATTTTACTCTAAAAGTGGCTAAGACCACTATTCACTTCCGATCGCATCATGTCAAATAAAGTCTCTGGTCATCGACGTGGCATTTCGTGATTCACACTGTCTTACCTAAATCATTCGACCTAATTCTTCATACTTTTTGTCATGCCATCGACTAGCCAAGCTAGGACCTCACCCTACCAGCTGTGACAGATAACAGCTATATACCTCGTAGCTGGCTTTCAGCATGCGTTCGAGGAAGGTGACTTGAGTGGGCACTGTCAGTTTTGGTAATCTTCGAGTATAACATTAATATGATGATCTTACCATCGAAATCTGAACTCAATGAAATTACTTCCTTGTGGGTCCCCGGTGCCGCTGTAATCTTCATGCGGCTCAGTCCATCCGAATTCATGAGCTAGGACATCGAATTCTGTCCCAACTATCCGTAAAATAGCGGTGAACTGTTCGTATTCGTGATGACTGTCTGTATCATATAAAGGTAGACATTTACTCACGGATGTAAGTCCACAACGTAGGATATACCTCTACATCGTCAAGCTTACGTGGAATTCTTCGTCATACCTCGGCATTTCAGATTATTCAAAGTGCCAGACTGACTCAACAAATCCACCAATTTAGCTGCGATCAATTGTGACCGTTCTCAGTCAGAAATGTTGTTGACGCAGCTGTTCCGATAGACCCTTAACCTCACACTCTTGCATCCTCCGAACGACGATGGGGCTCTGAAGTCAAGTGCTTACATCTCGGGCTTAGGGAACGGAATGGGACATTGGTTACGTATGTATTACGTCACTTCTCCGACGGCACCTTATCTTTACAGCCACTCAGGTGATTTGGCGCTACAACTGTGCGATGCAGTCATTGCCCTTGCTGTTTCTGGTGTCTCTGGACACTCAGTTCCTTTTGTGCATGGGGAAAAATCGTCCTGGAATTAGCTTTCGTGATTTTGTAAACTTGTGCGTGATGAGACATCGGTAGGATTATTGTGCCCCTACGTACAGACACGGGTGCCGGCGAATCTGCAAGCATTCATTATATTCCCTCACAAATGTGGTTCAACTGGCTGTGCATCAGTCTTCATTAGTTTGTCCGGTAACTGGCTCACTATTCTGACTGCCGCGTTTCGGTTGCTTGTACACAACCGAATCATCGAGCGGTAATACGATGGTAAGGTCACGGGAAATCAATACAATTGTCTGTGAGGACAAAGCTGCAACTTGTACAATTGCTATCTATAACGAGTACCGATATCGACCGTTTCTGGGCTTCACACCGTAGTCATTCGATTGTTCTCGTGTTTATGTCTGAGTGGCTGACCGACAATGTATGAACTTAGTCGTACTTTTTTGTCAAATTGTTACTCTCTTAGTTTTAAGAGTGCTCCACTCTCTGCTTGGTGATTCCCAATGGTTCGTGTATCTTCTATGGACGAGCGAGTCGTTCTGAGCATATCTGCTGATCACGTGGAGGAAAATCCATGCAGTTATGGTTAATCGGCAGTTCACTGGTGGTGCAACTAGTCGACCGTCACTGATGAAGCAGCTGGGTATTGAGTATTGCCTGCGAGGAAACACTGCACTCCAACACCGACTGGTGGTGGTGGCGCGGCAGCGAAGCGCCGTTACGGCGTACAGCTGACACACTACACCGTTTGATCTCCTCAGGCAGAGATAGTCGGCCTCGATTGTCTGCTATCTCTACGTGATGAGACCATAGAAGTTCGAAACGCCTTGTGAAATGTGGTGTTTTCAGTCGGGCAACACCCAATATCTATCCGTTTCATTAGTTACGGTCCCGGTGGTCTACCTGACCATGGTTCACATCATTGCCCACCGCACACCATTCACACAACGAATGCTTCGAAATGACTTCTCCAATTAGTCAACCGTTAGTTTTCCGAAACAGGAGGAATGATGCTAACTTCAGGAAAACCCATACACGACCACTTCTTTGATTTACTTAACCACAGCTCCCTTCTAACTCGAAAACTTCGGAAAGCCAAGTAAAGTAGTTCACAATTAGTGAGGCATTCTACCTTTATCTAGAAAATTACTCAGAGACGTCAGTCAAGTGGTTGTTGCATTACTGGTCGAGACAGCACCTTATGTGATGCAGTCCGTGAGGGGGGCTCCAATTGCGTCGACAGATGAGGAATTGGTTTTGGCAATGGTTCCCGTTTGTTTTCTTACTTTGTAGATTCTGGATTACTTTCCGGTATATTCCACTAATTTAAACATGAGTAAGAACACCACGTTCGAAATGTACCGAATGAATTTACTCACTTGAAACGCTTTCCGACTGATCGAAGTAACCGTTACCTTTTAGCCAGCAAAGAACAGTGCAACTCCTTATTCCGAATCGTGAGCGAAAGAGGCCCTGAGCAAGTTTAGCGACACTGCAGTGGCAGAATTCGGTGCGACCGGACTATTGAACAAGATCCACTTCGCATAAAGTTATCGAGCACGAATCCACAGACCACCGTAACACATTCAGACTATGGTGGTCTTTTTACTAAGACTGCAACTTTCAGAACAGAATGAAGATTAGACAGATACACTGCTCCTTCTGACAGACATCAATCAGTAGGCGCTTTAATGTGATCCATTCTATAAGCTATTGTAGCAGTGAGAAGTATGGATTGTCCGAAAAAGAGTTGGCTTCTGTTGTCAATACACCTATTCTAGTGGTAAACAATTATTTCGTGAGCTTGTAAGCATTGTAACAAATCTTCCCGCTTCATGACCTGGTAGATTTTGTGCACACGTAATGAGTAGAATTAAATCTCAACAGTTGCTGGAAGCAATTCTTACCTTCTGGTTTATGTATTATATTATGGGCCTGGAAAGCAAATCTCAATGATTTCTTTATAAAATCCGATACATATAACGCGATAGCTGTGATGTCTAATTAATTTATTCGTTCAAAATGAGAGCAGAATTTAGAGGCTGCTCTAGCATTTACACTAGATTAACCTCGTAACAACAATTAGACAAAGAATAAAACAAGCTTACGGTGACTCGAATCATTTTAAACAATTTTTCGCCTGTTGGATTATCTGTTATGTGCTCGCTATGGGCTCTTCTGAAAGGGTTTGAAATCCGTCGAGAGTGTACATTGTCGATGCTTTAATTTTGTCCACAATGGACAATACACAAACTTGGAACGCATCTGGAGGGTTCATTGGAATCTCTGAGCAGGCGAATGCTCACGTTGATGAAAGAGCGAATGACAGCGTAACTAAACGGTTTATTCCTCACCGTTGTGGGGCGCAGTCCGACTGAGTGGCCTGATCAATCTGTACAGCAAGTTCGCAGAAAATAGTTAATTGCCCTTGTTTTGTATACCGAATCCCAAATGGCTTTTTGAAGCGATTGGCAGTTTCAAGCTAACAGCGCGATTAAGCAAATGGGAACAATAACAAATGCACATTTAGCCAAAAGTTCAATTAAAGGAATACGGCCAATCATGGAACCGTCCCTATGAGACTTGCTTCCATGTGGGGTATTCCCTCGTTGGATTTCGCCCGTACTTCCATGCTCCAACTGGCTGTGTGCCGGTGTGGCCAAAAACCATGTAAGCAATCACTTGTTTCACAAGTGTCTTTTTTTCTATTAGGGCTGTTTTATGCATGCATTATGCGCGATGAAGCCTCAGCTCGTTCCGACATGCTGATCATTCAAGTATGGCACTTTTTGTTCTACGCCAGGTAGTCAGTGGCAATATGTCTTGCATGGGTATAAGATTTTAGCTTAGAAGCTGTAATCCGTCACCTCAAGAGATCAGCCAACTCGTGGCCAACAACGAAGTAAGGAAGAATATAAAGTATCAGGAATTAAAAAGCATAATACTAATATCTACCTTTTGCAGATAGTCCAAACATCAGTTCATGGGAAGTCTTGGTGAATAACAGCAATGGTATGGAGATTACGATAGAAAGATTTGTTCCATTCCAGCCAGTGTTTTTCAAAGAATAAGGCGCAAAAAAGATCGTCCAAATGCAGTTAATAGTGTCTGCAGTTGTAGTTTCTTTATCCTAAAAGAAGAACAATTGAAACCATCGGAATTCGAATGCGATCAGTTCATTAATTTCAGAAAACCGATCGCAAAGAAAGTATCCTTTAGTTGTCGCTCATAGGAGACATGCAAAAGAAATACGAGATGTGCGGATGAGTATAGTAAGTTAAAACCTAGCAGGTTTCCAGTGATATTTAAAAAAAAGCAGAGATAGACTAATATGTATTAGTCACAGTAAGTAAATGTACGAGAGCGTATGCTCTATATGGATCAAAGCCCACCGTATCGTGAACAAGTCTGGACAGGCCAGTGTGTACTTTGCAACTGAAAAAATGTCTGACATGCATTAAGTGGGACACGATAAGTTTGGTGTGTGTGTGTGTGTGTGTGTGTGTGTGTGTGTGTGTACGCGTCGTGCGTTTATGTGTGTTGTTCATCCACTTGAGTGAGTTAGGGCCCGACTTTCAGGGTACATGTGAGATCCCTCACCCCCATAGATGTGATCACATTCCACTAGTTTACAAATGCGCTTCGGTCGCCTGGGCAACGTTTCACAAACCTGTGCATACGGTTCGCCATCTGTGCCTGGTTCTTTGTCTGCGCACATTCCGGTCCCCGTCTCGTTTGGTGTGTCTGAACACCGTAACCGAACGTGGTGTGAGTGCCAACGAATTAGCCCGTCGTTTGGATGTTGAACATTGTGTTGGCTTTCCGGGGAACGAATTACGCAACCAGTTGCCAGGGTGTTTCTTTTGACAATTTAATTTAAGACATACCTTCCCCATATTACTTCCCATATTACTTTACAGTAACAATTCAATACACATTCTAAAATGTTTATATGAATAAGGGGCACCCGAATTGACGATTTACACTTATGTTTACTTTCACTTCCATCATCGTAGGGACCTGTAAAGCCATCGCTTTTTTACCTGTAATATGTCGTTGTTCATTGTTCAAATCATTTTCCTCAAAATTCGCATCCTTCTTCACCTCACCTGAAGGTGCTGACCTCTTCAACCCTACCCATGGATTAGGAAACAATAGATTGAGTCTTGTCCTGAGGTTTCTGCTAAACATCAGCTCTGCAGGAAAGTAATACGGCCACTCGTGGAACCATCCCCAGGGGACCTGCTTCCATGCAAGGTAGTCGCTCGAAAGGTTTCGCTCGCAATTCCATGCAATAACTGGCCGTGTGCCGGTGTGGCATAGTAGCATATGAGCCATCACCTGTATATCATATGTTTTGTTCATTTTAGAGCTGCTTTTGAACATGTATTATGGGCCATGAAGGCTCAGCCCAGTCCGTCATGCGGATCATTCTATTATGGCACTTTTTTATACGCCAGTCAGTTGGTGGCAATTTGCCTTGCATAGGTAACGTCTTTTATAATCTGGAAGCTGTAATCCGTCACCACAGGAGATCAGCCCATTCGTGGCCAACTATGAAATAAGGAAGAATATAGAAAAGAAGAATTATGTGAAAGAGGTACTATATCGTTAATGTAAAAAATAGGCAGGTATGTTTTGTACATCGGCGTAGAAATCGATCGAGCCGATCATACGATAAATTGTGTAGCGTGACAGCCGGAGACAGATGACTGTACGAGTTGTCCATAGGCAAAAGTCGCATAGGGAATCAGTTATTGCCATCACTGAATTCAAGTATATGTTTCTGGACTGTTAACTTCAGAAAAGAAGGGGAAATGATTAGCACTGGAGAACAAATGTAGCGAAAGGGATCGCAGAACAATATTACGAATTAATCAATTTGTGGGGAAAATTACGAAAATAGTTCCTGACGTCACACCAGTAAATAATTTTGCTCTCGGTTTTAAACAGAAGACAGTTGATATGAATTAAGTTTAAAGGGAGTAAAACCGCATGGAAGGTAGCGTTAAGGAATAGCATAAGAAGCGGTTTGTAGCAGCTCATCCTAGCTGATCAAGTTTTCTCTGGTGCAGTAGAGTTGATGTTCTCCGGTATCATACATGATCCGGCCCTTCTTCATACAGCTTTTCATCATCAAATTGAATGTTTAAGATCCATTTCGCTCTGTCCGTTGACAGATAAGCCTTTATCATTTTCTTGAACATGCAGAAATGTTCAATACATCTAATCTCTTTTGGCAGCTTATTCCAAATGGAGCCATACCTAAGAAGATAGAAATTTCTCCTTAGACTGCTCTTGAATTTAGGTAAATAGAATATGCATTCGTTATCTCGCAGTTCATAAGTGGTGTTTTCCCGAAAGTGCAATTGATAGGTTCCAATATATGCTTTCCGCCACGCGAGTTTGTGGAGGAAGCACAGATTTAGTTGCATTCTTCGTAACCACAGAGGTTCAAGATTCAATTGCTTGCACCTATCTCGGTATGAAAGAGCGGTTGAACAGCCAAATATGCGCTTCGTAAAGGCGCGTTGGACGTTTTCAATGGCTCTCAAGTCAGCCTTTCGCAAGTTACTGAACACAGCACAACAATATTCAAGCAAAGGCCAGATACTGATTTTGAAAGCAATTAGTCTGGTTTCTTTCAAGGTTAGCAGGTGGCATATGAGCCCGACCGACTGCTTAGCCTTTTTCACTATATGATTTGTATGTTCGCTAAAGTTTAACGAACTAGAATATCTTAAACCTAAGTCACGAACAGACTGGCTGATGGGAATGACTACATCATGAAGCCTGAACACTTCTGCTGCTATCTGACATCCATACGATAGAATACTACACTTCGATGTTGCAAATGTCATCTGCCACATATCAGCCCATCTCTCAATGGCTTCCAAGTCGCTTTGGATATTGTTAACTTCAGCGGTACGCTGAGAACCTGGGAACGTGTAGACCACCTTTAAATCATCAGCAAACAAATAAGGCTTCCCAAATTGTATAACAGAAACCAGGTCATTTATATACAGTAGGAAGAGTAACGGGCCTAAGACACTGCCTTGTACCACTCCACTGGTAACTGGACGAGGTGAAGAGATATAACCATTGATATCCACAACTTGCGACCGTCCTACTAGGTAAGATTGGATCCAAGAGTAAAGCGGATTTGTAACACCGTACTTACTTAATTTACATAACAGCTTTTTGTGTGGGACTCTGTCAAAAGCCTTTTGCATGTCGAGGAAGATAACAATGCACTGAAGACCTGAGTCAATTGCTTCAGTTAGATGGTTAAGGAAGTCAACTTGACAGGTAACACACGAGCGAGACTTCAGAAAGCCATGCTGTGAAGGTGAGAGAAGTTTGTGCGATATTAGGAACGAAACCAAATGTTCCTTAACAATTCTCTCTAGCATGCGTGAGAGAATGGCTGTGTGACTAATGGGGCGGTAGTTCCGGATGTCAGTTTTCGACCCGGACTTATGTCTCGGTATGACCGTAGCCGTTTTCCAACGTTCGGGGTATTGACCAGACTGGAGAGACAAAGAGAAGATATTTAATACTATAAGAGGGATATCATCTCCACCGTGTTTGATTAAAGCAGAAGAGATCCCATCGGGGCCAGGTCTGTAGGATGGTCGTAGACAAGTAATCATACGTTTTATCGTAGCAACACTAAGCTCGATCGCTGGGACTTGTTCAGAGAAGTGAAACGAGGTTGACAAATCCAGGGTTTCTTTTTCAACATTAAAGGATCTAGCAAAGTATGAGTTAAAGGCTTCCGCCATGGCGATTGGGGAATCAATGCAATCACCTTCAGGCATGACGATGTGGGAGGGTAGGTCAGTTTTGCCACCTCTCCTTTTCCTCAGTAATGCAGTCACCAGTTGACTTGTATTACTACTATTTACAGCCCGTCGTTCTTCCTGCATGAGACGAGTTCGATGTTTCATGTCCATCTCAATTATAAGGCGTTGGAGTCTCAATAATACACTAAAGTCATGAGTACGTTCAAATGTTCGAGTTAGCACTCGAATTTTCCGCTTGTCCTTTGCATTGTTAGCGTATTTAGAAGAGACTCTCGTATTATCACAGGAGGCAAGTATGCTTAAGCACATAGCCACATTGTCATAGAAGATATCGGAGGCTCCCTTAATATCAGACGAAAGAAAGAAATGGTCCCAATTTTGGACCCTAAGCAAAGCTGAGAAATCTACCCAATTAATATTTCGCAGGAAGTGTGGAACCATCGCAAACCTCACATGCGACGACTCAGCTATAAGTTTACATCTGACTATTTTGTGATCACATCCAGGGAGACCGTCAATTACATCAGTAGCTATCTGGGAGGTGCCTGAGGTAAAAAGTAGGTCTAATATATTTTTTCCCCTGGTAGCCACGAGAACATGTTGCTCCCAACCACCAGTGATGACGGAGGTTATGAACTCTGCATGTTTCGCGTTTGTTACTAAGTTTGACCAACAGATATCTGGTAGGTTGAAATCTCCACCTACAACTTTATCGAAGGAACCAAGGTCCGATATGTAATTGAAGATGTCAACCAACTGGTTCTCATCACTGAGGCTGGTCCCGGGTGAGCGGTATATACAGCCTACAAGAATTCGCTTAGTACCAAAGGACAAGAGTAACCAAGCGGAATCAATAGTGGGGCATATAAGTGGAAGTGTGAATTCAGACACAGTGAGGTTCTGTGAGTAGTAAATTATGCAACCACCTCCTCTGCCTTGTTTTCGATCACTTCTAATAAGCTTATAACCTTCGATAGAAAGCAGCTGGCTGGGCATAGAATCATGACACCAGGTTTCAGTGAGTAAAATCATATCAGGTTTATTCAGACTTATGAAGGTGCGGAGTAAATGAAGTTTATTCAACAGAGAACGGATATTAATTATCACCAGTTTTAAAAACTCCTGGCGTTGTTTATCACTCCGTCCAGTATTTATTCTTGCAATCACATTAGTTCTAAAGCCTTCCGCAGCAAATCCCTTACCGTGAGATTCGCCAGTCCTATCGGGATTAGGGGGGTTGGGGGAATGGGTGGGGGAATGCAAAAAGAATGCTGTGGTAAGTTGGGGCGATTGAGCTTAATTGGATAGGGTGTCATTGCCGAAGGGCTCACAGAAGGCATTGTGAGAGGAGGAGGCGGAATAGAGTATGGATAGGGGCATAAATAAGTGGTCTGTGATTCAGCAAAGCCATGTACAGGCCTGCCAGGAGAACAGCCTTGGCTCATCGCCGGAACAATGGGGAATTGTGGCTTGCCACTCTGTGCAGCTGCATTATTATTCACGACTGTCATTGGGACACGGGGAGTCACCTCTCCAGCACGAAGGCCCCTGTTTGATCTAAGACGCTTAGGACGCGAACCATGACCACTGCTGCTATGTGTAGTCATAATGTCAATGGGCCGTAACGTACCTTCACTGGAGCTATCGACAGTCCCATTTGATGTTTTTGGACTTGTATCTGTTTCAATAGTGGTGTGGGGATTGATCCCAATCCCTACTGGTTTGTCAGAACGTGGTGCATCGAGTGAAGCTACACTATTTCCTATGTCCACAAGACTAATGTGGTGTGGAGGCGTGAGCATCTCAATTTCCGCTACGTTGTCGCCAGTCTTAGCATCGTTCGTGTGGAGAGTGGCCTTGCTAACATTATCTGCCTTTTTAGAAGGGGAGAACCAAACACTGTTGAATGATCTCCTTCTTTGCAATCCAGGAAGCGCGCAGGGAGGATGACTCTGCTTCGGCTCAGGCGAGACATTAGTTGCACTCATGCGTTGAAGCTCACGTTGCAAAGGTGACCTGTCTACGAATAGAATAACTTTGCAAAATTTCGGGACAGATCTTAAAGTATTTTGACTTTTGATAAACGAATTTGCGAGACTTTCGCTACGGAAGCTGAACAGAGTCGGACAAGGAAAACGCAAAGATTTTTTCCTCAGTCTTCTACAACTAATATCGGTTTCAGCGATGTTGCACGCTCTCGAAACAGAGCGCCTAATGTTGTCAATTGCGATATTGTCAGCTATGTTGAGGGCGATGACGTTTTTTCCCCTTCTGCATCTTTGATTAACCTCAGAGGCGATTGCATTTAGGAAGTTTAAGGCTCCAATTTTGTGCTTTTGCTCTGGATTAGCCGGAGACTGAATTATGTATGAAACTGACATTAGGAGATCTCCGAATGAGTCAAACAACTTTAGTTTCTCATTTTGTTCCTCTAACTGTTTTTCCAACGTCTTTATTTTGGCTGACAGTGAAGATATAAGGTCGACAACACTAACTGAACTTTCTGTGATTTGTTCTTTGGACTTATTTACCTGCTCTTGTATCCCAGCCTCGGAATGTGTGCAACAGGGCACAGGTTCCTCGACACTCGTGACGGCAACATTATTTACCGTGATTATTCGGTTTTCCACACGCTTTTTCCTCATTGCACGAGTGTTAATGGCAGTCATCAATCTTGTAAATGAGAAGATCAAAGCTATCTATAGTATATGCTATAGCCAAGCGTGAATTCTGGAGTAACAAAGGTCGCTAAGGTCCAGTGATTTACCTATTCAAGTCAACAGACAGGCCACTGTTTCAGATGCAACCAATGATACAAACCAACCGGATGTAAGAGTGCTCAGTTGTCCAAATTCCGCCAAGGGTAGACTGTCCTGCAGTGATCGACCGCTCCGTGCACAGGTATCCCTGAGGTCAACTCCGTGTGTCACGTTATGCCGCAAGTTCCAACAGGCGCACACGCACAAATCCGGCCAAACAAAGAGATTTGTGTGCGTTCGATAGAACGCGATTCACAATGCAGCGTGAGAGCTCTTGGTCAACCAAGGCAGTGTACGAAGATGGAATTGCTTCTAGTCGCCTTATTCAGCTACCGACAGGGTTGGTTTAGGTCTCCTGAAGTAGAGCTAGCAATAAGCTTTCCGTTAATTCCAAAAACCTTGATGAAGGTAGAAAAGTGGTGCACTCGTAGGCGAACGACAAGGCTGAAACACAGCCAGAATTGAAAACCGGCGTTAGACGTTGATCCGTTAATAGTAGCCTCGAGAGAGTTCGCGAAATGGGTAGACCTGATGGAACCCGATTGAATGAGTGTACCCAGGCCGATGTGCGAAAAGACTTGAATCCGAAAACTTGCAAAGTCAGGAGCAAGGAAAATTTCCCGACCAGCACGTGCACACGCCAGGTGCATGGAAACTGTATACACAAAGAAGATATAGAATTCGCATGGACGTCACCCTATCCACTAGAGTGGTGAATGCTTGGAACAGCCTACCGGAAGTAATGCAGACGCTCCATCCGAGGAAAGTTTCAAGCGGCTGATAGACAAACATTCGCTGAGAATGCTGGAACTATGCGGCTGTCACTGCAATTGCGACGAACCCTTGAGGAACGTCGTGATGCAACGACACTCATCAAGCCCAGTATGATACGGAGTGGATGGGGCTGACAAGGGATTTCCCTCCTGCACCCTACAACTCCAGGAACTCAATGTCATCACAATGCACAGTGTC